CCTGTGCCCGGGCGGCGGGCCGGGGCGGTTCGGTAGTGCCGGTGTAGCGCTGCCGGCGTAGCCGCAGGGCTTTGAGCTCCTGCAGGTAAAGAGGGAAGGCAAAGGCAGCGGTACCGGGTGCCTTGAGACGCTGATGAGGTGGTGAAGTGGGCAGGGTTGGACTGGAGTATTCCTCGTGGGCTGCTGAGGTACCGGGGTACGGAAAAAAGATTTAAGGCTTTGAAAAATCCCCTTGAAGGGCATGTTAGCTTTTCTGCAATCCCCCGGCCTAATTTCTTGCGCGACCGTTTGTTACTGTGGGTGCTTAGCATGAAACCCAGCTTGGAGGTAACTAAAACTTTGTTGTCAGGATCGCTCCTACCGTAACAAACTTCTCCGCGTTCCCGTGCACAGCCTGTCTTCTGCGCCACCCTCTCCCTTCTCCACCCCACAGGGAGTATGCTCGTGTGGGTAATTAATCACGCTGAAGCTGTGTAAATTCACATGGCAACATTTAGACGTTGCACAGAGAAGGTAATCGTTTGGGAAATCCAATAAGGGATTTGCTGTTAGGCATTAGGCTTTCTACAACCTGTTCTTATTTCCTGTAGTCGTTTGGAGAAGTCCCCTAATTACATTTCTTCACGTCATGTGCAGTTTCCCCACGAATGACAGAGGACTTGGTGGTGTTTCTGTGTTCTTCTAGGTCATCACATGATGTAATTTAGTGTTATTAGGAATAGCACACAGTATCAGCTGATGAGTTCAGAAAACACTGAAAACATTTTTTTGACTAAATTATGTCTTGGGCAAAATTACATATTTGATGTACGTTAATTTTTTAACAGTAGAAATAAGCAGATATACTTCTATAACTGTAAGTGTAATCTAGCCTGATGATGGTCTGGAGTCACGTGTTAGTGGCTAATCTTCTGCAGTATTGAAATTATTGTCATAGTTTTTCAATAGTTAATCTCATGATCTAATTTTACAGAACAGTTGTATTTTCTAATTATTCCTTTATATTTGATACCTGTGTTCTCTGATGCTCACTATCCTTTTTTTCCGCCCCCCCCCCGATCTTCTAGGGTCCAAAAAATAAAAAAAAGGTAAGTAGGCAGAAAGATGTTCTAGCTCACATACAGCGTTTTGACCCCTGTCGTGTTCATTTAGGTAGCGTGCCAGAACAATTCTGTTATTTTGGAAATTATAAGAGCAAAATTACAAAGCACTTCATACTGAAATTAAAGTAAGCATCAGTTACTTCTGGACTTAATGTCTACAAAACATTATATTTAAGAGGTTCTGTCATAATAAAGGTGATGTGACACCGTAATTGTATGCAAATGTGCTTTTTAAAAAGAAAAAGGTGGGGTTTTTTTTGTTTTTTAATCTGTATTTCTTCTGAGCCAGCTGGTCCGGCTCAGTCCGATTTGAAAGAGGAAGAGGCGTCTCCAGGACGCTAAGCTTGTGTGCCTTTTGCAAGGGGTCTGAGTCGTGTTCCCGCAGAAGTGCTAGAGAGAAGGTGGCGAGCGCAGCCGCGGTGTGTTTTGCTTGGCAGCTGGTGACCGGGCAGAGAGCCAGGGTCCTGGCTCTGAGCCGCAAGCTGGACACAGAACATGGTGGGTAGGGGGGGCAACAGACAGAAGTCCACAGGAAACTAGGTTGCATAAATTCATGCCCGTGGATTATTCTTAATTCAGTGATAATGAAATTATCCACCCCTCCCTGAAAAAAGAAAACATTCAACTGTATTCCTTGGAGAACGGTGCCTCTCAAATTTGCCAGTATTATGTTAAGAATGTGAAAATAAGTTGACTAAAAAGTGATTATAAGTAACTGAAACAAGCAGATTTTCCATTTTCCCTGGAAGAAAAGTAATCAAAAATTCGTATTTTTTTCTTTGAACTGGAAGGAACTGATTCTTCCCTGAAATCCTAATGGGTAGAATTGTGGTTTTTACTGACTCTGTTCTAGGAGAATTTTGGAAATAAATGCTTTGGTAACAGATGTGACAAGATGCACACTAACTCTGGTGGGTGTATGTTTGTTGTTGGCACTAAATTTTCATCATTGTTTTTGTTCAAGCTTCACGATAACCTTTGTATTCAAAGTTACATTTACGTAGATACTTATTGCCATGCAAAGTAGGATAAAGTGAATAGCTTTCCAAGTAGTTATTTATGTCAAAAATATACTAGTCGGAATCAAAATGTGAAATAACAGTATTTGTAACACAGTTTTTGTGTGATGAGTGACAAAGGTTTTCCTTGATTATTTCTAAGTTCCCTATCAATTGGATTACTTGTAACAATATTTACCAAATTATTAGGAATGCTCAGGTGGAGTGGGTGGGAAAACTTCATAATACCATCCTGTTCATTTGCAGCTGTCTGGCCTTAAGTCCTCTTTTGTTGTCTCTCCCTGTCAGCTTTGTTGGAACGCTTTCTTTCTTGCCTTATTTACACCTCTGCAAGACGGGCACTGTGCTACTGTGCTGGTTTGGTACCATTCTGTACCCATTTCTCTGCGGAAGAGGGGGATTGGATTCCGAACAGATGCCTTTGATCCTTAGTGCTTATTTACATTGTGATACTGTCCAGTTGTATCCTCTTGCTGACACTGTGGATGAAACTCATACTGTTTTAGTCATTTTACCTTACCTGACTGAATCCTTGTAAGCCCTTGTCCCTCACCGGTGATGGCACGGGGACTTGGGATTCCTCTCTCTGATGTGCAACATCCAGGTTAGATGCCTAGGCAGAGGATGTGTCTCCTCCTCTTTTCACATTGCCTAGCACTCAGAACCCGTTTACGTTCCATATTTTCTCTCTGTTTTAAAAAAGTAAACATTTGATTTAATTTAATTCTCTTTCATTTGTGTGTGTCAGTGGCAGAATACCATTGTTCAGCCAGTACACAGATACACCACCAAATGCAAGTCATTTGTTTTCCTTGACATCTTTTGTCGTTCATACCTTTGCTTTCAACCTTAGTTAGGCTGCTGTCACTCTTTGTTTTCTCCGTATGCTGGAGCCTATGCAGAATATCATGGTTTATTTTCTCATGTGTACAAAAAAAATAGCCTTATCTGTCCCACTCATAAACAATAATGTTGGCTGTGAATTAATTTTGCAGTTCAGTACAAAATTAGCCTCCTTGACTTCACAAGCTCCATGAACTTGTTTTGTTTTACTTCCTGGCCCATCTTTCTCCCCTGCCCCCTCCTTTTTTTTTTTTTTTTTTTTTTTTTTTCCTTAAAACCTGTTGTTTTCAGGCCTCGTCTTTGCAGCATCTGCCTTCAGGAACAGCCCTCCTCCCTGGTATCATTCCATCAACCCCAGATGGAGTCAAGGCACATTGACTGCAAGTTTATTATGCTTGCGATACAATGGCAGTGTTACCTGTGTAAACACTGCGTAAAACTGAATAAAGATAACTTAGTCCTTAATAACTATGCGCTTGGTGAGGATTGCAACCTTAGGCTGCTTTTGCTGCTGCATTAATGGGAAATCAGTGTTTTTTTCTTGTGTATCTTTATTTTAAGTGCTGTTTTCTAGTGACAGTGTTGATCCTACACATTTGATTAAACATCCCAAGACTGTCAACACAGAAAACAAACAAACAAACAAACACAAAACCCAAACAAAATGATAATAAAAAATAAAAGCCCATCCAAGAATCTTTCTTTTTGCTGGTGAGGTAAAAAGTGAGGGACCATTAGCAAACATCTTCAAACCCAAAGAGAATTATGCTTTCCACATCCTAGCTGTTCAAGTTTCTTGAAGGCAATGTGGCCTCATGTGCACAGCTCCAACTACCAAATTTTTGTATGTATCATCAGTGAGGAATCTATGAATTACAGGACAAAAATAATTGTTCTATTTTGGTTAATCTGTTACATGACAGTAGATTTTGCACGTTACTTACCTTGTCTTTTTGCAGTCTGGGTATACATTTTAAAAAACCCAAGAATTGATAAGGAAGATAATTTCTGAGAAACCCAAATTTAAAATATAGTTATTCTAGGATTAGCCTGGAGGATGAAGAGTTAACTGTCTTGAGTTGCAGTTAGGATTTTGTGACAGAAAAGAGAGCTCTTTGTTAGTTGTCTTGTGAATTAGATGCTTCTAAATGCCAGACTTGCCTGTGTCCCGAAATACATTTCCCAGTATTTCCTAAAACGTTTGAAGTTGTAACATCTGCTTTCTTAGCAGATCTGCCTGTTATTCAATTTCTACATTAAACCAAGATATTTTAATATTCTCCTGTTGTGGCCATGTTCAAGAGTGTCTAGCACAGAAGAATATATTAATTGTAAAAGCATATATTGCATCATGAAAATGAGAACAAAATTGAGTCCAGGATGTGTATTGCTGTTCTGGAGGCTTCATTGACTGTGTAGGGAGTCTGAAATCTTAACTCGGGGATCAGATTAGAAGGGCAAAGTTATAGAGGGTGAATACCTCCCAAAACATATTAAAGTAATATTGACATTTGTTTTCTTTTAATTTATTGCAAACATTAAGTCCGGTGGCAAAAAGAAAGTTAGCAAAGCTGAACAACTGAGATTACAGAAAGAAGAAGAAGAAAGGAGACGGAAAGAGGAAGGTACTGTGCACTTCATTTACAGGGAATGTGATGGCACAAATCAGTTATTTTAAATAAACGGACAGAAAGTAATCTCCCAAACTATATGTGCACCAATATCTGTCTATGTTTCACAAATACAGGTGACTCATCCCTCTTTTCTTGTGCGGGCCAAATTCTGTGTTACTTGTTACCGCCTCCCAGATCTCATTTTCCTATTAGAGCCATACTCTTTTCTCTACTGTGATTAGGAATTTGGGGAGGAGGATGGCTGGAAGAATTAATTTTTTTTTTTTTTCTCTCTTACCATTACCTTTTGAAATATTCTCAGCTAGTTAGAAATGCAGTGTTTTGTGGTTTTATTTTTTCCCCCCTCTTCTTTGAAGCCTGGTTATCAGTAGACAAGAGAAATTCTCTGAAAAGGACTTTTTCCAAAGAAGGCCAACAGAATATTTCTGTTGGCAGGGGGTTAGCTGGTGTTCTGAAGGGGTAGCAGATAAGGTGAGTACAAACTAGGATAAAGTAAAAGTGTAGTTTTCTTGGGCTTACTTCTTCTCTCTACTGAGTGACTGATTCTCCACCCACTTCTTCAAGATCTTTCCATTGTATATCACTGTATCCCTTAAAATGAAATCCCAGTTGCATGACTTACCTGTCCTCACCATCTGAATGTGTCTGCTTCTGCAGTTTAGTATCACAACTCGATACCCCTCTCTGAACATCAGATCTATCTCTTCTACTTCCCTTTCTGCCATTAATCCATCCTGGTGGGTGTTTGGGCATACTATGACTGCTAGTAATAGTAAGTGACTACTAATCACCAGTAACCTCTGTGGATAGGGGTAATGGCTCAGGTGAGTACAGGCAGATTTGGGAACTGCCATTGCCCTTGCCTCTGTGCAACACAGATATATTTGAAGTGATTTGCATGAAGGCAGTGACATTGAAGTCACTGTTTGGGAACATCTGGATTAATGCATAGGCTGCGCTAGCACAAGCTGAAGGCTCAGAGGTTGAAATCAATTTTAGTTTTCACATCCTCTCTGGTTTTCTAGTCCCTGTGACAGCAAAGAAAACCTGCGATCAGGAGTAACTGATCCTGAAGAGGATTTCAATGAAGAAGAAACTATGAGATTGAGGTACCCACCAAAGGTTGTAGGAAAGGAGAAGACTAACGTGGGGCTGAACCACTCGGGCAGTTTCACCATAGACATTGGATTAAGAACCTGGGCCTGTTCAAGCCGTAGATAAAGGGAGAGGGCACTCCCGATGCTGTTTCCAAGGGGAAAAAGAGGGCTTGCTGATCCTCATCTCCACTTGTATTGTCACAGGCTGATAGGGGTAGCACCATTGGTAATGTGTTTTAGTACTATGGTTCAAAGTAATTTGGCTCTTTTGGAAGATTTCTGCGCAATATAAGGTACACCTTTGTGTTGCTCATTATTATGGTTGTTTTGTCATTAGAGCTAATAAAAAAATAATTTTTCTGGTTTTATTAAGCAAAATATAATTATGTTCATGATATATTTCCCAATCTTCAGAGGAAGCCCGACTACAAGCTCAAAAAGAAGAGGCAGCAAGACTTGAAAAGGAGAGAATTGAACAAGAGCAGATGGAAAAACTTAAGGCAAAAGTTAGTTCATGCTCAATAGTTACTGAAAAATTCTAATCCTATTTCTAAACGTGTGACAAGGTCTGTAAAACATTATTAATTTAGTGTGAGAATGGAAAGGAATTTCCTTATGTCCTTAGTGTTGGAAAAAAGGTAGAGGAAATTTTCTAGCATCACTGGATTAAAATTAATGAAAAATCTAGCCAAATCACTGAAAGGTACTCTTGTATAAGATCCCACAAGTTGAGAAGGTGGTGAGCTGGATTAGTAATTAAACAAAACACAACACATGTAAAGTCAAGAGAAATGGTGCTGATTTTTTTTCTGTAGTATTCTTTCACTAAGCCAATACTTGGCTTAGTGTTGCTTTGATTCGGGAAAATTCTCTGAGACAAGATAGTCTTGCCTGTTTTTGATACATAAAGATGCTGTGGTTAAATACGTTAACTTTTGGGATATGTGATACTCCAGTTTGAATAAATACCTCTTTTTTTTTTCCCTTTCCACTATACTTTCAAGTGGATGTATTTTTTGTGTTCCCTATGATTACATTTGGTACAGTTGTGGCAAGAAAATTTTGGTATAAATTCTAGAAGTGGTTATGTATTAGGACAGATTCATTGATTTGTGTGTGTGCATGTGTATGTGTGTGTATGCGTATTTGAATATGTATGTTTATTTTTCTAAGAAGACCGGAATTCAGAACAAAAACTGTTTGGTAATATCTAAATATTTTTGTGTTTAAAAGGAAAAAAAAAAAAAGATTTACCACAATTTTTTTTTTCCCCCCAGAAAAAAAGTCACTCTTGCCTGTGCCTCTTGTCCTTCACAGAATACTTTTTCCCCAGTAGAGAGAAGATAAATTTAAAATAATAGAAATTATAAGGAAAAAAAAAAATCATCTTGCACACATTTTTCCAACATATGCTTACTTTTTTCATCAGCTCTCATTAGAGGTAGTTCCAGGATGGTGATATGGAAACTGTTGAAGTGAGGGGCTAACAATCATATGATACGTTATGTTTATCATATGGCTCAGCAATTAATGTGATAGCAATAACATACTGTGAACTGCTGCAGTCTTCTCAATTAAATGTTTCATAAAAAAGTAAGTTATCAGTGTTGGGGTTTGTTTGAATGATAACTCATTCAAATATCCTAATTTTTTTTCTTTGATATAAAGTAATTGTAAGTAGTAAACCATATATTTAACTCCTTTGTTTGTTTGAGAGAGATATATATGTGTGTATATATATATAAAAACAGGATCAAGAACGAAGGGAAGCTGAACTAGCAGAACTTCATTCACTGGAACAGAAGTTTTTGTCTGCACAGCAGTGGAAAACAGATTATAGAGCACAGGCAAAGGTAAGCTTTCTTTCCAAAATCTGCCCAGTATTGTAGAGGTTCACAATGAAGAGACTTTAGGCTGTGTCTCCATTACAGGATCCAGGAATGATTCCATTTCTTGAATTTAGGTGTGTGCTATGATTGCATTTCAAGTTCCATCTCAAGGTTGTAACTGGCCATCTGTCTTCTATACTTTGGTGTACACAGAAAAGAAACGTGAGCAAAGAGAAGCCTGTCTGGCTGATCAAAGCAGTAGGGCCTCACAGCTTACCTCAGCAGTCAAGAGGAATTGTAGTTTCAGATATTCTGGTATTTGTCCTTCCTTTCCTATTAGTTTAATTCATTCTACTTGTAAACATTCCATAAAAAAAGAGCTCTGCCAGGGCTTAAAAATATTTTTGTAGAATTTGAGACAATTGACAACATTTGTTCCAGTGATTCCTGGATATCACAGGTCATAATTCGGAAAGTGATTGGCCAAAACTTTGAAGGACATGGCACAAATCTGCGTCAGATATCAGGGCTGGAAATATGTGAAAACGCAGCTAAGAGTTAATGTCTGCAGTTTAGGGTGACGTACATGGTGGTTGAATCATCACTCGATAGCACTATATGCCTGTAAAGTTAAATTTTAAATAGCAAGGTATGGAAATACACTAGTAGAACATTTCACTTCTGTGAATCCATCTTGCAGAAACATCATTCATTAACAGTCTGATATGAGACTTGATCAGTTTTGTTCCAGGTAAGGTTAAACAAACTTGTGGACACAAGGATTTTCTCTTTGTCTTGTATATCAGTTAATCCTTTATAAAGCCTCTGCGTAACAAATTTAGAATTATAGGATAAGTCATGTTAGAAGGGACTTCTGAAATTCGTATAGTTCAACCTCCTGCACAAAGCAGGGCAAACTCTGAAGTTAGATCAAGGTGCTCAGCTGGGTTTTGAAAATTTCTAAGGATGGGGATACCACAGTATCTCTGAGCAACCTTTTTGACAGCTCCACCACTGTCATTGTAACAATTTTTCTTTAAATCCAGTTGGCATTTCCCTTGTTACAGCTTGCGGTCATTGCCTAATTGTCATGACACATCATCCCCGTGCGCCTCTGAGGAAAGTTTGCCTCTGTCTTCTCTATAACCCCTCTCTAGGTACTGATAGATGGCAATTAGCTCCTCCCTTAGCTTTGTTGGTCCTCTCCAGACTAACAAAGCTCAGCCTTTCCTCATGTGTCATTTTCTCCAGCACCCTAAGTATCTTAATGTCCCTCCTCTGGACTCTCCAATTTACCACTCCTCTTGGATTGAGGGACCCAAAATTGGATACTGCACGCCAGATGTGGCCTCAGGAGCCCCGCAGAGGGAACAGTCAGGCCTCGGCACGCTGGTTACGCTCTTTCAGTGCGCCCTCGGCA